TATCTGTGCTAGGCACTAGAGATGCCAGCATCATCAACAGAGGCAGCAGGATGAGTAATATCAGTTGGGGACAAGGAAACAAACAAAACAAACCCAGAAAAGTTGTAGGAAGGAAGCCCAGCTTTCATATGATGCCCTTTTTGGACAGGGGAAGTTGATGGTTGGGAAGGGATACTCTCTACTGGCCACACAGACTATTTATTCATCACCACCCTGTGTTTGAGAAGCTTGGATGCTTGCTGTCCAGGCTGAGGGGAAGAGGAGGTGGTGGTATGCTCAGGGAGTAGAAAATAGGAACTGATCAAGAGCTGTTGTGTACAGGCAAATGAGCCATAGCTATGCCTTCAAGAAGCTTACAGATTGGGGAAAGGGGGGAGGACAGGAAATGTAAACAAACCGTCGAAGTACACTGTGATAAGTTCTGTCATTGGGGACGCATGTGTCTTCAAATTTGTTCTGTTCTACAGGGTAGAAGGTACAGGTAGAGTTTGGTGAAGTATGAGAAGTCCCTTTCAGACAATCAGAGCAGTTTCACAGTGGAGGGGGCTGCCGAGTCTCAGGAAAGGACAGAGTTTATTATGGTCAGTAGAGGCGTAAGAGCAGGGATGAATGATGCGTGAGTGTGTTGCAGAGTAGCCCTAGCCTCAAATGGCCTTGAAGGTGCTTCTAACCTCTGTAATCCCTTCCTTTTTCTCAGCCTAAGGATGTCACCTAGAAAATTAAGAGGGCTTTTTCTAATGCTGCCATTCTTTGATACCTGCCAAATTCAAGTGAATGAAAAATAATTCTACTTAGAAACACTGAAGGAAGATCCTGTAATTGCCCCTAAAGTAAAAGACATCTGAAATGACATAATAGGGGTATGATTACCCTTGGCTGTACAATCTCTCACATGAAGCTGAATACAGATTTCAGCCATGAGACCAGGTCACTTCGCTTCCCAAATTAAACCCTTGACTTTCTCCTTGAGAAGTGGCAGACCTCCATATTGCTAATTAAGTGACAAGTTGGCTGCCTTGGTTCTGAAATCAGAAAATGATTGGGAGTAAAGAGAGATGAATTTTCTTTGGAATTGGAAAGGATTTAGGGAAAGGTATATTAACAAAGATACATTATTAAAGCTCAATATTTATAAATCCCAAAGAAGCTTTTAGGGATTTGGGGATTTAATCTTTGACTTTTAAAATCAGCTTTCCATTGTCGGTCAAAATACCAATGAGCATTTAAAAACTGCAGGGAGCAATGAGACAGGCACTTACACACCGCTAGTGTGAGTACAAATTGATAGTCTTTCTAGAAAGCAGTGTGGCAAAGTATGTGAAGATTCTTAGCATGTCACTTCTCATCATTTCTGCTGCTACTTCCCTGATCTGAGCCCCATCATCTATTGCAAGGAGTTTGCAGTAGCCTCCTAACTGGTCTCTCTGCTTCTCTACTCTCCCCCCATTATAGTCTGTTTTCCACACAGCAATCAGAGTGACTCTTTTCAAACATAAGTCAGACCATGTTATTATTCTGCTCAAGACCCCATCATGGCTTCTCATTTCACTCAGAGTAAAAGTTGAAGTCCTTACAGTAGCCTGAAGGCCCTACACGAACTGACCAGCCTTCTATCTCTCTGACTCCTCTACAACTACTTTCCCCCTCGCTTGTTCCACTTCAGCTACACTGGCCTCTTTGCTATTCCTCAGACATATCCCATATCATATACTCCCAACTTAGGGCCTTTGAACTGACTCTTTCCTTCCTGTGAAATGCTCTTCCTTCAGCCATCTTGCTTGGTTAACTCTATTTCCTTCAAGTCTGTGTGGAAACCTTACTTTCTCAGTGTGTCTTATACTGGTTACCCTATTTAATAGTGCAGTCCCAACACCGTGGCACATCTGATGCCCTTTACCCTGCCCTTTTTCTCTTTTCCATAGCACTTAAGACTGTTTTTTTAATATTTACTATTTATCCACTGCCTTCTCCAACCCTCTTAAAATATAAGCTCCACAAGGGCAGGGATCACAGTGTCTGGCACAGAGTAGATACTGAAATATTTGTTGAATGAATGGGCTTTAAAAATAGCACTATCTTTTGACCTAGAAAGCTCACTTCTAGAGCTCATTCCTGAAAAAATAATCAGAAATGCAGCCAAAGATTTATTTGGGTTGTTCTCATACCTTTATTTATAATAATGAAAATTTGAAAACAACCTAAACCTATAAAAACAGAGTTATGGTTAAATAATTTGCTATATCTACATAATGGAATATTATCAAGATATTAAAAAGTGTTTTGAAGAGAATTACGTGGGAAAATGCTTATAATGTTAAAGTGAAAAAATAGAATTTAAAACAATATTTACCCTTATCTCACACCATATACAAAAATGAATTAATGATGGGAATTCCCTGGCAGTCCAGTGGCTAGGACTCCATGCTTTCACTGCCGAGGGCCCGGGTTCAGTCCCTGGTCAGGGAACTAAGATCCCCACAAGCCATGCAGCACAGCCAAAAAAAAAGGATCAATGATATAAATATAAGGGTCAAAGCCTTAAAACTCTTAGAAGAAAATATAGGGTAAATCTTCATGACCTTGGATTTAGCAAGTGTATTCTTAGATATGACACCAAAAACATGAGCAACAAAGGAAAAATAGATAAATTGGATTTCATCAAAATTAAATCTGATAAAGTTTTTTTGTTTTCTTAGTTTTTAATGGAGTATAGTTGATTTACAATGTTATTAGTTTCTGCTGAACAGCAAAGTGAATCAGTTATACATATGCATATATCCACTCATTTTTAGATTCTTCTTCCATATAGTTCATTACAGAGAACTGACCTATGCTATACAGTAGGTCCTTATTAGTTATCTATTTTATATATAGTAGTGTTGTATATGTCAATCCCAATCTCCCAATTTATCCCCCTCACCCCACTTTCCCCCCCAGTAACCATAAGTTTGTTTTCTACATCTGTGACTCTATTTCTGTTTTGTAAATAAGTTCATTTGTACCATTTTTTTTTTAGATTCCACATATAAGCGATATCATATATTTGTCTTTCTCTGTCTGGCTTACTTCACTCAGTATGACAAATCTGATAAAGGTTTAATATCCAGAATACATTAAAAAGTCCTACAACTCAACAACAAAACAACCCGACTTTTTAAATTGGCACATGTTTTGAATAGACATTTCTCCAAACAAATGTACAAATGACCAGTAAGCACATGAAAAGATGTTCAGCATCATTAATCATTAGGGAAATGCACATCAAAACCACAAAGAGATACCAATTCATACCTGCTAGGATGGCTATAATTTAAAAAAAATAGAAAATAACAAGTGTTGGTGAGGATGTGTAAAAATTGGAACCCTCGTGCATTGCTGGTGGGAGTGTAAAATGGTATAGCCACTGTGAAAAACAGTTTGGTGGTTCCTCAAAAAGCTAAAGATAAAATTACCATATAACCCAGCAATTCTGCTCCTCAGTATATACCCCCAAAAATTGAAAACAGGGACTCAAACTGATACTTGTATATCAGTGTTCACAGCAGCATTATTCACAATATCCAAAAGGTGGAAACAACCCAAGTGTCCATCAACAGGTGAATGGATAAACAAAATGTGGTATATATATACAGTGGAATATTACTCAGCCATAAAAAGGAATGAAGTTCTGATACATGCTAAAACATGAATGAACTCTGAAAAAATTATGCTAAGAAGCCAGGCACAAAAGGATAAATAGTGTTTGATTCCATGTGTTAGAATACATAAAGTATCTAGAATAGGCAAATTCATAGAGACAGAAAGATTAGAAGTTAATCATGAAGAACCTAGGGGCAGGACAGGAATAAAGATGCAGACCTACTAGAGAATGGACTTGAGGATACGGGGAGGGGGAAGGGTAAGCTGGGACAAAATGAGAGTGGCATGGACATATATACACTACCAAATGCAAAACAGATAGCTAGTGGGAAGCAGCCGCATAGCACAGGGAGATCAGCTCGGTGCTTTGTGACCACCTAGAGGGGTGGGATAGGGAGGGTGGGAGGGAGGGAGACGCAAAAGGGAAGAGATATGGGAATATATGTATATGTATAACTGATTCACTTTGTTATAAAGCAGAAACTAACATACCATTGTAAAGCAATTATACTCCAATAAACATATTAAAAAAAAAGAAGTTAAGATGGGTTATGGGAAGAGGGAATGGAGTGTTATTGCTTAACGGGTACAGAGTTCTGTTTGGGGTGGTTAAAAACTTTTAGAAATACATAGTGGGGATGGTTGCACAACATTGTGAATGTAATTAGTGCCACTGAATTGTACACTTAAATGGTTAAAATCACAAATTTTATATATATTTTGTCACAATTAAAAAACGTTTTTTTAATCCTTATATATAATATGCAGTGGTGGACTGGATCAGGCTTGTGTGGGCTCTCTAGACCCAATTGTGAGCTTCTCAGCTACTTATACTTATTCAGTGATGTTGGTAGCTTGAAATTGGCCATGGTTGGGAGTGCTTACACCATGGAACTTAGCAAATGCTACAAATAGGGCTCCGCCCCAATCCCCTTGAGCCAGTTGTTAAATATTTACTAGCTCACCACTGAATATATGTGTATAAAAATGCATGGAAAACTGTCTGGAGACATAGATGCCAAACTGCTATTATCTCTGGGGAGGAGAGTAGTATTATGGCAGGAATGTGAAAGTAAACTTACACTTTCTACCATATATACTTCCATAGTGTTTCAGGGTTTTTTACAGTGAGCATATAGACATATATCTCTTGTACTGCTTTGAAAAAACAGACAGAAAAATGTGTATATGTTGGGACTGTGGTATTGGTGATTTTTCTTGAGAGGCTAAAAGCAGTCACATATACTACCTGAAATGGCCCATGAAGAGGCTGAAGGCCAAGCTTGGGACTTGGATTCCATTTCCTCAGAAATCTGCTTTCTTCTTGCCCAACTAAATGACACTTTTTTGTCTCTTCATAGGTTACCCTACAGCCTATCCAGCTGCAGCCCCTGCCTACAATCCCAGCCTGTACCCCACCAATAGCCCCAGTTATGCTCCAGGTAAGGAAAAAGTGAAGCCAACAGTGGTGAGTGGGGTGGGAGGTGAGGCTCTATTTGGGAAAAAAAAGCCCGAAACACTTGCTGGCCTTTCCATGTCCTTAATTGCTCTGGGCTCAGCCTGTCCACGCTTGATTGTTCAGGGAGTCCCCTCTGGGAACTGGGGCAGTTCAGCCTCCGGGAATAGAATTTCTTCCATTCTCCTTGGGACTTAAAGTTGGCCCATCTCTCTTCTGCTGGAATATCTGAGATGTGTATCCTCCTCACAGAACCTTTTCTGCTCTCCCAGTATCCACACCCAGTTTTTGCTCGGTTTCCCCTGAGGCTGCCGTTGACACACACACACACACACACACACACACACACACACAC